CAACAACCTTTTCCCTCTTTGCACACCCCCCTTATATACACAAACTCCACCCCTTTAAGACCCACCTCCTGCCCTACCATAGGCCAGGAAACTCCAGCCTTAGCCAAGACAGGCAGGTGACGTCATGGCACACGTCACAGTAGCCTACCTGCATTTTTAGAGCAACTGACTGCCTCTAGCGAGTACCTCTCAAGAGACAGGCTGACAACTGAGGACCATTCCTTCTCCACTATATTTGTAACTCACCTCTCAACTGTGGAGTGCTGGAAGGAAAAGGGACTGCATGATATTTGTGTATCGCAAAGACCCTTTTTTCACAGCTGGTAGAGGATGCCTGAGGAAATTTCACTCACCACACAATATGGGGTAGAAGAATAAAAAATGACCCTAGGAGCTGAGGCCAAGACCGTAAGACAGATTTCGCGCTGTAGCAGAGAAATCACAAAGCCCCTCAAGTTTGCTTTTATGATGTTGTGGCCTGTGAATATAACCAGGCAATCTCAGATCTATACCAAAAAGCAGTTTTTAAAAATCTATGGGATTTTGTGGGCAAAGTACATATGATGTGGGGAGGGAGTTCAGCACCTCGCCATCTCATTATTCTTTTCTTTCTCCTCTCCCTTTCTCCCTTTTTCTGTTTCTTCAGCCTCTTCTCTCTCCAACACTCTGCAGTTCCACTCTTTGATGCCTCCTGCCTTCTCTTTCCATGCCACCTAATCTCTGACACACAGCACTTCTTGTGGCGAAAGCAATGTATTTGTTTACCTTTGGAAAAGAATCTGTGCTTGTCTTTAGATCTGTACGTCCACACATAATAGCTATCTTAAAAAACTGAAAGGCTGCCTCTGTCCTGACTTTTTTCCCTCTTATGACACATATGTGAATTGTACTGTACTCAGATCCAGCTATTTGCTAGTTGTTCAGTCTCTATACCTGCAGTGCAGATGCTCATTATTTGGAAGTGCAGGTGCTCATTATGTCCCCATAGCCAGCTCCCACCCCAGGAGATTCCAGAAGTGCAAGGGGATGAATCAGTCCATATCAGCAAATGAGTAGTAGGTTTTTTGTAAAGTTAGTGGCTATTCATTGCTCATTCTAAAGCAAATAACCATGACACGTTTTGCATTATAGCAGGAATATCTTGCAACAATATAGTGTTCCTGGGAAAATCCCAGCTACTCCCAGGTTATGTGTGGATTGCACCTAAACTTGGGAGGGGAATCAAGGAGATGTGAAGGGGCGGCAGATAATGTCATGATTCCTGGTACTTAGAAACTGACAAAGCTTTAATCCTGCAACCCTGACTGTGCTATAGCATTTTTTTATATGTTACAGCAAACATGTTGATTTTCAATGCTCAGGTTATCTCGTGCTGGAAACTGGGATTACTGCAGTGTCAGACTCTCTACTTCTAACAAAATCTTCAGGAATACATTGCTAATTATGTTTTTACTAGACACTACTAAGAAATCTGGAACTTTTGTGCAATTTCAGACAACCTAGTTTTGGACTATCATGTGCATTTACTAGTGTACTAGCAGTCTTTTCCCATGCTGTCCTATTGTCTATGTCAACAAGGAACTAGGGATTAATTTGGCCTGTTATGTTTTCTTTAGTGGTTTCAGTATCAAAAGCAAAAATTGTTTTGGGATGAAAGTTGGATTATAGACTTCAACTGCATCAAACAAGGTGTGTAAGTATAGACTTCATTCTTGAGAGCAATGGACACAAGTAACCGGTGGTAGCCCATGGGCCAGAGCTGCTGTCAGGTTTCCCATTTAGTCTTCAGCTTTGTGTCATATTTCAAAGAGAATCACCCTCCAATTATCCTCCAACTTGAGAAATAATGAAAAACAAGAGAATCTCCCTCCTCGTCTTTCCATTGAACAGGTCTAGGTGGATGCTTCTTGCTTTATGATGCTCCCATTTGTGGACTAAACAAATGGGAGCAAGCAAGTAAAGCATAGAGTTGTGGAGCACTTTTTATAAGCCCACTGCTCTTATTCATATGTGGCAGCACAGGATAAAAGTGGTGGGCTAGTGGGCAGATCCAGTATTGCCAGGCCTTCAGGGTAGACTCGAAATAAACCACTTTTCTTTATTTGTGTTCAAAATTCATCGGGATCAGGTAGGAGTATCTGAGTTATGCAAGTATCTCAGTTTGATACAGCTTTAACTGGCATTGTTCCATCTTAAAGAATCCTAGGGATGTGCATTTTAGTGAGACCCAAGCAAAGTGCCTATACATACTACAGAATTAAACTACAATCTTCAACCCCCTTTTCTCATCCTGAATTGTAGTTGGAAACAGTAGTTCAAGGGAGTGCACTAGAGCTCTCCAGCAGAGAACTTGTAAGTACTCATCAAACTTCAGATCCAAGGATTTCTTCGGATGCAGCCATGACATTAAAATGATAGTGTAGCTAGAAGTTCGTAATATAAGTATGTCCCATCTTTGCTCATGTCTGTATATCAGCCTTCTCCAATAAAGATGGCTAAGCATCTAGAAGATACCTGCTTGAATGAAACCTACATAATAAATATGATCTCTTATTGATCTCACTGTAAAATCTGGATGTAAATCTCAATCATTTTATAAGACATATGTGTTTCTGATAGTTTTGGTATATCATGCATCCCATTCCTGGTTGCTGTAGAAGAAGCAATTTCAGCAGGTATTATGACATTAGATGAGGCATTGGGTAAGGTACCATCTAGAAATCCTGCTGGATCCAGTTTGTATAGTCAACACTCCACTTCTGTAAAATGACAGGAAAAAAACAGTTCAGGTTAAAACATGGTGGCTGAAATCCTGCTGTATGGTAAGTCACACAAGAGTAGACCTATTGAATCAGTGGAGACTGGTGAGTCAACTGCTCAAGTTCCAGTGATTCAAACAAACTTATTCTAGTTATGACTTACTTTAGGATAGTAAGTTGCAACTAGTGTAGGTCCATTTGAATTAGTGAAACTTTCAAATGAATTGACTCACCAGATCACCACTAATTCAACAGGCCTACTCTAGTGTGACTTACTAAAGCAACATAATTTCAACCAGTGTATCTTCTTCAGTATGAGTATCTTGAGCAAGAATTTATTGTGTTATTATAATATGCTGCTGCTGGTAGTAGACTTTGAGATGCTTTCATTTATTTTTATTACTGAAGAGTATGGATTTGTAGTTTTCTTGGTGGAATGTGATTTGAAACATTGCTGCCCTACACAAGAAACAAACAAGAGATAACCTGTACTCTTCCTTGTAGTTTTCTTGGTGGAATGTGATTTGAAACATTGCTGCCCTGCACAAGAGATAACCTGTACTCTTCAAAAAACAAATGATCCTCAGTTAGCCTGAATCTAATGAAAAAAAGAGAATGTTCCTAATTGAGAGAAACAAACTAAGCATAGATAAGTGAAGGCAACAAAAGAGATCATGGCTTCATTAGTAAAACAGAGAGAAGGATAAAAATAAAGATGTATACCCAGTAGGAAAAATTTATGGACAGAGCTGTAGAGTGAGAAAAAAGATGAAAGAAAAAAATTAGGAAGTTTTTTTTTGTTTAATGGTATTACATCAATTTAAGAAAACAAGTTATGTTAAATATAAGTTTTTCATCTTTGTGTATACAGGAGATCACTTTATATTGGAACCAGGTAAGATGTACACGGGGGAGAATAATCCAGATGCACACTATCTTCATGATATTAAAAGGATAAGACCCAATTATTTCAAAAAACCAAGTTGTGCTGCTTGTATGTATCAACAGATTGTTTGAAAGATCCATGAAAGTTTTGTAATTATAAAAATAATTTCCACGCTTCTCTGTGGTGGGTCAATTCATCAACCGGCAGCCATCTGCTGCAAGTCGAGAATATGGGTGCATACTGCACAAAGGTAACAAGCAGAGCAAACGAATCCCAGGAGCACGGAGGATGAGTCATCATCACTGTTGTTCTTGCCAATATCTCTACAAGCAATCTACAGTTAATTCCCTGTTTTATTCCTTTTTTGAAAAAATAGAGGGCATGTCAAGAAATGTGGCGGGGAGTGCCTTAGGTACACCACACATTCCCAGTGCCTCCAACACCAGCTGCCTCACAGCACTGAGTTCCTGTACACTGGCTGCCAATCCTTCTAAGGCAAACTATTTCACACAGATTGGGATCTAGTAGGTGTATCTTTCAGTTGGTTCATCTTATTCCCTGTCTCAAAGTGTTATATGACGTACATGAGTGTATATGTTTACAGGTGTTTCTATGTATTTCCCCTCCCCCTCCTTTCTACAAGCAATCTACAGTTAATTCCCTGTTTTATTCCTTTTTTGAAAAAATAGAGGGCATGTCAAGAAATGTGGCGGGGAGTGCCTTAGGTACACCACACATTCCCAGTGCCTCCAACACCAGCTGCCTCACAGCACTGAGTTCCTGTACACTGGCTGCCAATCCTTCTAAGGCAAACTATTTCACACAGATCGGGATCTAGTAGGTGTATCTTTCAGTTGCTTCATCTTATTCTTATTCCCTGTCTCAAAGTGCTATATGACGTAGATGAGTGTACAGTGTATGTTTACAGGTGTTTCTATGTATTTCCCCCCGCCCGGGGTCATTCTAGTATGACCCATATGCACATACCTGGCTTGAAAACTGTTACAGGGCCTGGATTATGTGCTCACCAGTAGGATTTCTTAGAATGGTGGGCAGAAGATATAAGACATGTTCACTTGTGGCTTCAGAATAATGCATTATAAATGATGGCTTTACATGTTAACCCATTTCTTCTGTAGGAAAGGCAGAAGCCATAACAACAGTTTTCTTCCTAGTAGCTTCAATGGATAAAATCCTGTTACTTGTGCATTATGCAGTGTAACTTTTGGAGGTGAATTGTCACAAGTTATGAAGTCAGTATAGAATTGTGGCTTCAGAATAATGCATTATAAATGATGGCTTTACATGTTAACCCATTTCTTCTGTAGGAAAGGCAGAAGCCATAACAACAGTTTTCTTCCTAGTAGCTTCAATGTATAAAATCCTGTTACTTGTGCTTTATACTGTACAGTGTAACTTTCGGAGGTGAATTGTCACAAGTTATGAAGCCAGAATAGAAATAATAATCATCTTCATCATCTTAGACCTGCAGAGCTGGGAGGGACCCTATGGATCATCGAGACCAGCCCCAATCAAGGAGACACAATGGGGGATTGAACTGCTAAACCATTGAGCTATTCAGCAGTTCATTACCTGTTTTGTACTGAGTCAGCCCACTCAATGCTCAACAAATAATATCTATGGTGACTTCATTTATTTATTTATTACATTTATAGCCCGCCCATCTGGTCATACCGACTACTCTGGGTGGATGACTTTGGAACTTGCAACAATTCGCTGTCAAAAATTATCCCATTTGTGTCATGCTGGCAGCAAGATTTTGACCAACAATTAGCCATGTTTAATAAATAACATTTCCTTGTCAGTTTGTCAGCCCCAATCAAGGAGACACAGTGGGGGATTGAACTGCTAAACCATTGAGCTATACAGTAGTTCATTACCTGTTTTGTACTGAGTCAGCCCACTCAATGCTCAACAAATAATATCTATGGTGACTTGATTGATTGATTGATTGATTGATTGATTGATTGATTGATTGATTGATTGATTGATTGATTGATTGATTGATTACATTTATAGGCCGCCCATCTAGTCATACCGACTACTCTGGGTGGGTGACTTTGTAACTTGCAACAATTCACTGTCAAAAATTATGCAGCAAGATTCTGACCAACAATTAGCAATGTTGTCATCCTTCTGTTTAATAAATAACATTTCCTTCTCAGTTTGTTGGTGGCTTAAATGCTTTCTTGGGATGTCTTACAAATTTGGGGCACTTACTTTTCAAAATCAAGGATCCAAAAAAAAAAAGACTATTGTAACAAGTATTGTAACGAGTGAATAATATGTTTTCTTGAAATGGCAATGGCAGTGCACTAGTTCTTAAGGCTTTGCAATGAGTTACTGTATGTGATGAATAATGCATTTGGGGCACTTACTTTTCAAAATCAAGGCTCCAAAAAAAGACTATTGTAACAAGTGAATAATATGTTTTCTTGAAATGTCAGTGGCAATGCACTAGTTCTTAAGGCTTTCCAATGAGTTACGTGATGAATGGGTGTTAAAAGATAACTTTCCAAGATCTTCCCCTACTGTGGGATATGTGCATATCTCCATCCTTATGGTTTCTAAATGAGTCTTAAAGAGCTGGTTATACTTTAAACTTAATGTTGGCCCATTCATTATGCTATAATTTTTACTTTTGTGGCTACAGTATTTTGAAGGTTAGTGTTTTGTGTCACTTAATTATTTGCATTTGATAATTTAATTGCTTTCACTTATTACTCTCTTAATCTTCTTAGACTGGGTAATCAGATAAGTATTTTTGTGTTCTTTCAGTGATGGCAGAACAGTTGCCATCAAAAAAATAATGAACAAGACATTTACACTCACCAAGGCCATACGTAAAGAAGTCAAGCAAGTAAGGTAAGTTATAACTTAGAACAAATGCTCTCTGAACATGAGTTCACTGTCCTCTTGTTTAAAAATGAACACTGACCTATATGTTTCATTTACTGGCCAAAATTCTATCGCAAAACACCATATATAAAAGAGTAATCTTGCATGCAGTTGTCAAATTTTGGTGGCTGTGTGTTGTACACCCAGTTATGTCACCAGTTCAGCAACCAGTTGTGCAGCCAGGGGGTTATGAGACCTGCAATGGACAGCTAGGAAAATACAAGTAACCTAACTCTTATGCAGTGGCATAATGCAGCAGGACTTTGTCCACTGATCCAAACTATTGTATATTTAACATCTGAGTAATATTTAAGGTTGCTTCTAGACTTTATTTTAATGCTAAGGCACCTCCCTCTTGTAAACATTTATAGAATCTGAACTAGCCAACATGAACGTGTGCACATGGGAGAGTTAGAAATTTAACATTTAAATGAACATTAAAAGAAGGTATTGGGATTCTCAGGAATTCATATGAATGGAATCTGTGAGAGAAATTCTATGGCCAGTATCTTACTCAAAGCAAATAGGAAATTTCATAAGCATTCTCCTGCTTTGGCAGTCTCCATCATGCACCTGATCCCACAACTGATTGTGCAACCAGTCTCAGAAGTAGTGTGATACTGGGCACACAAACAAGACCTTGTGGGAGAGATAGAATACTTCCTCACTTGTCCTTTCGTGATTGCATAATATGACAGAATACTGGTCTATGCTTTGGGTAAGTCAACTCCTCTATAAGTTCCATTCATTCAAATGGACACACTTATCATTGGAGACATGCAGTTAAATTGGACCACCTCCTAATTAGTGAGGGAAAAAGGGATAATACATCGGCAGTAGAACCCTTATTGTTGTGTTTCTTGTCTTGTCTCAATCTGCTTTGTCTCTAGGTCTTTCCCTTCTAACTTGAACCCATCACTATGTTGCTTGTAGCTGTTCTGCTGACTTCTTTAATGATGGCATGTATTCATCAATGCCTATTTACAAAACCTTTGGGGAATCTGAGCCAAAGGATGTGTGTGTGAACGTATGATTTATGCATTCCTCCCCACACAACCAGCGCTGAGAGTTGTGGAATTGCTCTGGGACCTGATGTCAATGTCAACTCCAATGGAAGGTTTCTGAATGTTCAAAGTGTGATATTTTACTCATAAGAAAATCCCATCCAGTTTAAAGAGATTCTGACTGCCTACTTAAGCAGTCAGAATTATTTGAAGACTGCATGCATCTATATGAATTTGTTTGGCCTTCAAGATATAACACTGGTTTTCTGGCCCCCTATGAATAGCAGTCTGACCGACTGACACTGAAGACAGAGCCTTTTCAGTGTGAATCCATCATTTTGGCATTGATGCCAGGATTTGATTCTTGTCTCCCCCTCCCCTTCTCACCTCAACAGAGAACTAGACCACCCCAACCTCTGCAAATTCATTGGAGGCTGCACTGAAGTGCCAAATATCGCCATTGTCACAGAGTACTGTCCTAAAGGAAGTCTGAATGATGTGCTGCTGAATGAAGACATCCCTTTAAACTGGGGTTTCAGGTGAGAGCATGGGGACAAAGCGTCATGATAAGCTCTAAACCAAGAAGGTTGTGTGAAAAAGCCAAGCTAATGGTCAGAGTAGATGGTATTGCAGTGTACACTTGTCACTAAAACTAGTAAAGATTTTGTTTCCTCTGTAAATACAGTGGTGCCTTGCTTGACAACGTTAATTCGTTCCAGCGAAATCGCTGTAGAGCGAAAACTTTGTCAAACAAAATAAAAAAACCATTGAAACGCATTGAAAACCGTTCAGTGCGTTCCAATGGGCTGAATACCTGCTTGTCCAGTGAAGATCCTCCATATGGTGGCCCTTTTCAGTGCTGTAAAGTGAGGAATCCGTCCTAGAAAACAGTGGGGAGCCATTTTCTTCATCTGGTGGCCATTTTTAAACCCAACGATCAGCTGTTTGCTGATCTTCGTAAAGCAGGGAACCGATAATCGCACAGCAAAAAAAAAAAAAAAACCATTTAAAACATAGTTTTGCGATCACAAAAGCGATGACAAAAGCATCGTCATGAAGCAGATCCATCGTTGTACGGGGTAATCGTCCAGTGGGGCACGACTGTATATAGGCTACGTGTGGTTCCCAGGCCCCAAAGGCAGCATCCTCAACACTCTTGGGCCCCCTAGCACCTTCAAAACATGTTTGGAAATAACTGAGGTTGTTGTTTCGTTTTGCTTTTTGTCTTTGGCTCAAACAGTCTCCTTGTGACCTCTGGGTGGTGTGGATAGAAATGTTGCCATATTTTGAAGTACATTCCCAGTAATCCTGGTGATTCCCCACATCCTTCCAAATTTAAAACCATTTCTGGGGGGGGAAAATCCCAGGGGTGAACTCAGTTTGGCTTACAGTTTAATCCTTCCCTCCATTTTTGTAAGAAGAAAATCAGAAAATGGTATGGGAGCAGGAGAGGCCCGCCAAGGTCCAGGGATGGGGAAGCACAACCTCTGAGGCTTGCCCACTGCAGTATACAATCTTCATAGGAATATAAAACGTTTTTCCACCCTGCTTTATCTCATTTGCTGTTCTGCAAGCGGGATCTGAAGGCCTTAGGAATGGACCTCAACAGATGGGAAACCTTGATGTCTGAGCGTTCAGGCTGGAGGCAGGCAGTACATCATGACCTCTCCCAATTTGAAGAGACACACTTGTCCAGCAGGCCGAGGCAAAGAGGCAGTCCCGGAAGCAGCAAAATCAGGGACCTGGACTGGGGACAGACTGGATTTGTCTTCATTGTGGAAGGGTTGTCACTCTCTAATTGGCCTTCTCAGCCACACTAGATGCTGTTCCAAGTCCTCCATACAGAGCACGCTACCATAGTCTCTTGAGACTGAAGGATGCCTACTACTAGATGTATGTGGGATGATTGTGGGAGAAATGCATATCATGTCATGTATTTCCATTAGAACATTTTACAGCAAGAGGTGGGGTAACGAAACATATGACTGCTGTTTTGCTAGAGAGATAATATATATTTACCATACTCATAGGCCTAAATGCACTTGCTAGACACAACTAGGGCAGACCCACTGAACCGATAACAACCCAGTATTTGTCTAATTGTCATTGGGGTTTTTTAATGGACTTCATTGAGGATGGGTCTACTCACATTGCAAGTAACGAGTAGATTTAGGCCAGAATGTATAGTATAAAGAATGTCAATGGAATCCCAGATAGTGTCTGTGGTCTGTTCCACCTATTTCCATCTAAGGTGGATTGCCTAGTTGCGTCCCTACCTTGACAGCAGGTCCCTCACCATGCTGGTTCATTCACTGGTAGTCTCGAGATTAGACTATTGCAATGCTCTCTATGTGGGGCTGCCCTTGGGGCTGTTACAGAGACAGGTCCAGAACTCGGTGGCCAGATTGTTGAGTGGAGTCAAGAGACACCAACATATTTTCCCCAATTTGGCTGCCCTGCATGGTTACCTGCTCGCTTCCGTGTCAGCTTCAAGGTGATCGTGTTAACTCATAAGGCCCTAAACAGTTTAAGATTGCAATATCTGACAGAATGCCTCCTTCTGATTATATCTGCCCATCCTGTAAGATCTTCCCAGGCTGGGTGATTGAGAGATTGAGACTCCGAGAGAGGCCCGAAAAATGACAACCAGAAATCAAGCCTTCTCAGCGGTTGCACTGAAACTATGGAGCAGTCTCCCGTCTGAAATTCACCTGGCCCCTTCATTGGGAACCTTTAAGAAATTAAAAACATGGTTATTGAGACAGGCCTTCTTGGATTTTAAAACATCCTGATCCAGTAGTGCTTTTCATAACTAACTTTCAGCCCTCCGCCATGTTTTTATTATGCTTTATTATGCTTTTATTATGCTATTTCTTAGTGTAATCTGTCCTAGTACCTCTAATATTTTGTTTGGTCATAATTGATTAATTTTGTTTCTTCTGTTATTATTTTATTACTGTTTTGTAAATGGCCCGGAGTGGCCTTGGCAGCCAACTGAGTGGTATAAAAAATCAAATAAATAAATAATAAAATAAGAAGCATGCATGGCCTCCTGATAACATACTGTAAAACCTTTTGCTGTTGTTAAGCCTTTTACAGAATCCTGCAGTTTTAGGCTACTTCCTTAGAAACTGAAGGAACAATTATTTTTAGTAGGAGAGAAAATTGATAATTCCTGAGAAAAGATCAACAGGGTTTCTTCCTGGCTTCTACTTAATCTGCTCTTTTCAAAAGTTTGGACTGAAACCAGTTGTTCATATTGTCTTCAAAACAAGGGCCTAAATCTCTTTGAGGTCTTCTGTATGTGTAAGGAAATTTGTCACATTTTCATATAACTTGTCATGCCATAGATGGTACAACTAAACATAAAACAGACAGCTTGGCAAACAGGGTTGTTCACTAAATAGAATAAAATACTGTACTTTTATATATAAAGCCATTTTTAAAATCCATTAAAAACCACGAGCACTGGTTAGGATTAGGAAATTACTCAGGAGAACAACTGAGCAAACGGAGTCCATCCAATCTGAACTGTAAAAGAAAAATATATAACAAAAATGAGTCATATCAGTTTGAAAACAAACCCAAATCCTCACTAACTTTAAAAAAAAGCACGAGAAGTTATATATCATCATTTCACCAGATGGAATTCTTGACAGAATGTGGGATTCTAATTACAGAGAAATATCATTAAGTAAAGATGGCAGGAGGATGCAGCTTCTGAACTCGTTTCTTAGAAGTGAACTAAAGTGATCAAACTGCTTTATGATCATAAACTGATGAGATTTTTTGATGATGAGATTATGGACAGGGATTTGAGATGGTACAGTCATGTGATTTTAAAAAACCCTCTTTGAATTCAATGTTTTTAGCTATAAGGACATAATAAACATCACCTGGGTCTTATAACAAAAATGAGTCATATCAGTTTGAAAACAAACCCAAATCCTCACTAACTTTAAAAAAAAGCACGAGAAGTTATATATCATCATTTCACCAGATGGAATTCTTGACAGAATGTGGGATTCTAATTACAGAGAAATATCATTAAGTAAAGATGGCAGGATGATGCAGCTTCTGAACTCGTTTCTTAGAACTAAAGTGATCAAACTGCTTTATGATCATAAACTGATGAGATTTTTTGATGATGAGATTATGGACAGGGATTTGAGATGGTACAGTCATGTGATTTTAAAAAACCCTCTTTGAATTCAATGTTTTTAGCTATAAGGACATAATAAACATCACCTGGGTCTTAGCAGGTCTAAAAATTAGGTAAAGACAACCTCAGATGAACAACAACTCATATTACACTGTATCATGATTTATTTCACAAAGATAAAACCAACATGGAGAAGCCATGTGTGAAAAACTACGTACACTTTATGATTCAATAGCTTGTAGAACCATCTTTAGCAGCAATAACATGAAGTAATCATTTTCTGTATGACTTTATCAGTCTCTCACATCGTTGTGGAGGAATTTGGGCCCACTCTTCTTTGCATTGTTGCTTCAGGCTGTTGCTTGAGGTTTGCAGGCTGTTTATGCACAGGTCTCTTAAGGTACTGCTACAGCACTCCAATTGGGTTGAGGTCTAGACTGACTGGGCACCTGGGTCTTAGCAGGTCTAAAAATTAGGTAAAGACAACCTCAGATGAACAACAACTCATATTACACTGTATCATGATTTATTTCACAAAGATAAAACCAACATGGAGAAGCCATGTGTGAAAAACTACGTACACCTTATGATTCAATAGCTTGTAGAACCATCTTTAGCAGCAATAACATGAAGTAATCATTTTCTGTATGACTTTATCAGTCTCTCACATCGTTGTGGAGGAATTTGGGCCCACTCTTCTTTGCATTGTTGCTTCAGGCTGTTGCTTGAGGTTTGCAGGCTGTTTATGCACAGGTCTCTTAAGGTACTGCTACAGCACTCCAATTGGGTTGAGGTCTAGACTGACTGGGACCTTCCAAACCAACCATACTTGTTCAGTCTTCCTCTTATTGTATTGTCATGAACCTTAACATTTAACATGCTAGCCAAGGCCTGTAGAGTCTGAGATGCAACCCTTGGTTTTTTTTGCATTTTCTCTGAGCATTGCACGGTCTGACCTTGGGGTGAATTTGCTTCGATGTTCATTCCTAGGAAGATTGGCAACTATCTTGAGACTGTATGACTTTATCAGTCTCTCACATCGTTGTGGAGGAATTTGGGCCCACTCTTCTTTGCATTGTTGCTTCAGTTCATTGAGGTTTGCAGGCTGTTTATGCACAGGTCTCTTAAGGTACTGCTACAGCAGTCCAATTGCTGAAGTGTTTCCTCCTTGGCATTGTGTTAACACACACCTGAATGCTCCAGACCAGCAAACTGCTGAAACTTCAGCTTTTATAGAGGTAGTCACACTTGCTGATTCAAGGGCATTTGGTTAGCAGCACCTGGCTGCTACTTAGCCTATGGACACAGTAAGTGTGTACTTAGTTTTTCACACATGGCTTCTCAATGCTGGCTTTATCTTTTTATTATGTCCTGATATGTAAAACCATAGAATTCAAAGACGGTATACTTCCTTTTTCATATGGCTGTATTTTCTTTTAATAAGCCTGCTTAACCACACATTAAAGTGGTTGCTTTTCTCCTCTTTCCCCTATATCTTGTGGTATTGGCTAGCACAAGGAAGGGGACCTTCCAGTTTGCTGAAATATCTGGGCAAACCCAGGTGCCCCAGCCTTTCAATGGGGATTCCCATTCTGGCTTTGTTCCTCCAATCTCTTAAAGGAAAGAGTGTGGGATTCTGTATCTGATTAATGAGTGAAGAAGCAAGCTCAAAGTGGACTGACATGGTTGTGAAGAATAACTGAATCTAATTCCTCTATTGTACAGAACGAAAAAGGAAAGGGGCCTATGTGCTCCTGAAGATTAAACAAATGCAAGAATAGGCGTTACCTTTTATTGGACCACTATGGTAGTTTCTCCCCACCCCACCCCAACATGGTCCTTCTGCACAATGTCTTGTTGAACCATTGATTACTTACAACAGCCCCTTGCTGAGTGGTGAAGGAGGACGGTGAAGGAAGCCCTCTCAGTGGTCCTTGCATCTGTCAGAGGAGAGTGGTGGCTTGATTCCTCTTTCTTCTTCTCAGCTTAAGAAGAAGGAATGCCAGTCGCTTTCACCAGTCATCATTTGCAAGCTTGGCTCCTTCTCTCCATTTTAGATGCAGCAAAGGAGAGGGGAAACAAAGCCAGCAGCTTTCATCTGGCATTTGGAAGCATCACCTGGGAAGCCTTCCTTCACTGTCATCCTTCCCCACTCAGGAAATGGCTGTTGTAATAAATGAACAGTGCAAGAAGATATTGTGCAGAAGAACTATGTGTGTGTAGGTGGGAAAATGGGGGTAGATTCAGTTATTGTTCACAACCAGCTTTGCCCTTCCTCGTTCTTTTGCAGGCAGCTTCACCCAGCCCTTTGCCTGGGACCTGATGCTGCCAGAGCCCCAGCCATGCCCCTGGCACCCTCAGGGTTGTGATGGAGTGCAGGGAATGGGTTTGACCTGTACTTGTGGTCTTAAGAAGATGCTGGACATAATGTTCTTTATTCAAAACAAAGGCCCAAAGTCTTCTGAGGTTTTCTGCATGCATAAGGACATTTGTGCAAACAGTCCTTCACCATTCTCTTGGCTTGTAGGGCACAAAGAAATAACCATAGTATCTAGAAGTCCATGCCATATTTTTCTAGACTTTCTAGGACACACTAATCAAGAACAGTTCCACCCAGTTTTACCCAGAACTCAAGTTCTCTCTCTGTAAAAAGGAAAGGCTGGAGAAACAATGGCCTTCTTAACGTTTCCGGAGTTTAGTTCCCATCTACACCACCCAACCTGATCACTGGTGAAAGATCAAAGGAATATTTCAACATTATCTGGAGGCAACAGGTTCTCCAGCCCTACACTATATAAGAGAGACCTGCTTAAGCATTTATGAAACATGCTAATGTATTATGTTTTTCCCTCAATAATTTTTTCTGGATTTTCCTGAGTCCCTTCCAAAACTTAACAATGTTGTATGAAATGGCATCATGTCATCCATCTTCTTTCATTAGGTATATCCTATGCTTAAGGAGGATGGCAAACATCACAAAAAAGGAAGGACACATTTTTCTGGAGGGAAAAATCTAGAGAATGAAAGCTCAATAGAAACAGTGAAGAGAAGGCTATTATAGGATATAAGTCAAATACTGTATAAGTGAAACATTTGCCAGTAGGATCTGCTGAACTCTTCTAAGCTTTAGTAAGAAGTAAAATATGGTTCAGTAACATAGATTAACATTCATTATTACCTTCTCTGACTCCACAGGCTTTCCTTTGCCACAGATGTTGCCCAAGGAATGGTATATCTTTATCAGCACAGGATTTATCATGGACGGCTGAAGTCCAACAACTGTGTCATTGATGACCGCTGGGTATGTAAGATTTCAGGTAAGGAGGAAAGAAGAGGAAGCCGTTTGCTGTGATGTTATGCAAGAAACAAAAGAAGATATTGCCTTTGTTGATTATAATGGCATTGCAAACATGATCATTGTCATAATCATCCCTCTTCCACTTCCTGCAAACCATGAACCTCTGCAGTGTTTTACTGTAGACACTGAATGGATCTCAGGTGGTCATTGCTGGGTGAGAAATGCCACACAACCAACAACCTGTGCCCAGGAAATGAATCATTATTTTGTATAGGGGTCATGTATATCATTGTAGGCATCCTTCAGTCTCAAGAGACAATGGTAACATGCTCTGAATAGAGGTCTT